ACACACAATATATAACCTTTAGAAAATATCTCTTCTTTAATGTGAATGTCTTCCTTGCAGTGGACAGTGCTGTTGAGTTTGCACACCGAGGGGTATTCTACCACCAGGGCCAGTGTTGTGTAGCCGCATCCAGGCTTTTTGTGGAAGAATCAATTTACGATGAGTTTGTTCGAAGGAGTGTAGAGCAGGCTAAGAAGTACGTTCTTGGAAATCCTATGACTCCAGGAATAAGTCAAGGCCCTCAAGTGAGTATACAATAGAAGGGATAGCATTTTCAGGGAACAAGAATAAACTATCCTCTTCAGCTGTAGATTTTATTAAGGTTATTTCCCATCTACGTGTCTTCCTAGATAAAAATACTGTGCTAGTTTGGTGATTAAAAAAAAGTCAGTTCCCAATTATAAAGAAATCATTTTGTTTTTGTGTTGCCCAGTTTTCCTGCCTAGAAACAGAAAATTAAAGACATGAGGGAAATTAAAAAACGCTATAAAGCTCTTGCTTTCCTCCATCTGCACACCTCTTGATTCCTTAATATCATTCTCTGTCCACTTCTAAGTTCTTATACTTTCCTATCATTTCTTCTTTAGAATCAATTCTCCGTCTCAGCTACCAGCGCATAGAGATGCACACCCCTAAATCCTTTGCAAAGTGCAGTTACTCTGACCCTCTAATGGTAGCATGAGTGTCCCCAAAGTTCCTGAGTTTCCGGGTTCGTGGCAAACTTCTCATTTTAGTTTTTAAAGCGCAATTATTCCCCTAGGGCTCCCGGTTTTCTTTGAACCATTATCAATAAAAGTGTCTCTCTTAGCAAAGATCACCTTTCCCTCTTCCTTACATAGTTCTCTGTTCACTGTCTGTTATTCAATCTCCTACACCTTTGATTCCAAATTTCCTCCTGCCCTTTAGGGTCTTGATCTAAATCAGTGATTCTCAAGTAGGAGCAATTCTGCTTGCCTCACCCAGGGGACAATTGACAATGTCTGGAGACATTTTAAGTTGTCACGACTTCAGTGAAAGAGTGGTTCTACTGGCATCTAGTGAGTAGAGGCCAGAAATGCTACTAAACATCTTACAATGTACAAGAGAGCCCCCAAACAAAATTATCTGGCCCAAATGCCACTAGGACTGTTGCTGAGAAATTCTGCTCTAGAGTCTAGACATTAAGTTTAGAAGCTTTAATCTTTCATGCTAAAGCTTATACACTGTTCCTTGCTGTTGATTTGAAACCAAACACTATTCTTGACTTATTCTAAGCCAAAAATAAATTCAATGAACTAAAATTTAGTGAACACTGCTGTCAGCTAACCCCTGTGATAGGTTTCCGGCAATGCCAAAAGGAACAAGGAGGACATGATCCCTGACCTCATGGAGTGTACATTCTAAGTAAGTTAGAAGAGTGTCTTGGGCTTTGCTTACCATCCCAAGACATCCAAGTAGAAGAATCTTAAGACTTAGGCAATGCCAAATATTAAAACCTAAAAGCCCTGGAATACCTTCATCAGGAAATGAAGTAATTTGTTTTATATTGATCCCATTTTTTTGCATTTGTTTTTGACTTTAATGAATACATAAAAGTAGTTCCTAATTTTTATCACATTTGATAAATTTTCAAATGGATGCCAAGAAATATATTTAATTTCAATATGACTTGGTCATCCATTCCCTAAAAGAATAGGATTTTAAGATTTCTCTTGTGATTATTCCTCTCTCTAAATATCTAGGTATTTATCTGTTTAAAAGTAAAGCCCTTTGCCATTTGATTGACAGACAGCTGACAGATGATGGATGGATGGATCTGAAAAGAAAAGAGAAGAGAATATCTAAGATACTTCATACTGAACATTGGTCAGGCAAGACTTTCCTCCATTAGGATTCTGCAAAATTCAACCAGAGTCTCAAAAATTGGGCTGGAATACCTCATTATTTTTTAGAGAAAAGAGTTAAAATAGACTTTTAAAAATTCTTCTTGGCCAGGCGCGGTGGCTCACGCCTATAATCCTAGCACTCTGGGAGGCCGAGGCTGACAGATCATTTGAGCTCAGGAATTTGAGACCAGACTGAGCAAGAGCAAGACCCTGTCTCTACTAAAATTAGAAAGAAATTAATCGGACAACTAAAAACATATAGAAAAAATTAGCTGGGCATGGTGGCACATGCCTGTAGTCCCAGCTACTTAGGAGGCTGAGGCAGGAGGATTGCTTGAGCCCAGGAATTTGAGGGTGCTGTGAGCTAGGCTGACACCACGGCACTCTAGCCCAGGCAACTGAGTGAGACTCTGTCTCAAAAAAAAAAAAAAATCTTCTTCATAGGATTCTAGAGTAAATAATCCAGTGATCTGATTAATGTAAGACTTTAATCACTATAAATGAATAGATTTTTATCACAGGTTGCACTGAGTAAGCAGGAGAAGTAGGTATTTGGAACTTTGAGAAACAAGACTGAAAAGCCCCCAAGCTTCTTTACACTTAAAAATATTCATCTGTTAAGAGCAAGAGCTTATGAAAGAGGTAAACCCATTCACTGAGCTTTACTCTGTTGCTTCATCCACTGGTGGCTGAGTGAACTGAGGCATTTTTAAATATAGCTGTAGAATCTTTCTCATTAAATGTAAAAACAAAATAGTTACAGAGAAAACAATCACTATAGAGGTTTGTTTTGGAAAAAAATGTAAGTTTTTTTTTTTTTAATTTTGAAGATTACAAACAAAATATTAGGAAGTTGGAACATGCAATATATATACATATGTATATTTTATTATATTATATGCGTTCATATATTTTTTTCATCATTTGTAAAGTGATTTTCCTATTTGACTTCATAGACAAAAATGTGCATTTCCTTAAAAACTTGGAAAAATTAGTATTTTAATTTGAAAAAGAAGGATGATATCCACGTAAACTGTGTTAACATTATCAGAAGAGTAGCATCTTTTTAGAGTGTGGAAAGGTAGGCGTTTGAGTTACAGGCTGAATTTAAAATCTAACTTTCAAGAGACTCTGTTTCCTCATCTGTAAAATAGGGATAGCAGGACCAAGCTTGTGGGATCATTCTGCAGGAAAATGAGATAATCCATTTAATTCTTCCATCATAGGGTTGAGTTTATATGCCCAAGTCTCTGTTAAGTAAAAATTACATGTTTCTATTTTCATAGTATGGTGATAATTATCATACAGATCAATGACTTCTTTACTCTCATTGTTCCTGTTAATCTATGGTTTCTAAATAATTTGAGGTATGTGTCAGTGGCTTTTCTCAATTTATCTTTTTCTTCAACCCACCAAGCCTAAGGAATCAAAGAATTTGCAGAATCGAACACATGAAAATGTGTACTCTGAGACTGTTATGACAATAGCATCAATATCAATCATTTCCTAGACTAGCCCATGGGCCTAGGGCCCTCGCACAGTAGAGAGCCCCGGCTACTCCTAGCATCGAGCAGTGCCTGAGATCCAGAAAGGAGGCTAAGTTTACATAAGGACAATCTGACACCTATTGAAGAAGGTTTATGTTTACGCTGAATGAAAGTTACCCAAACTAAACTGTGTGTGTGTCCCTAAGTGTAGCCGAAATTTTCTGTCACTATCCCCAAGCTCCAGCACAGTGTTCCTCAGTCTTTCCTGTGTATCTGAATCGCCCAAGGATTCAGTAGGTCTGGGGTGGGGTCTGGGAAGCACATTTTGCTACCAAGTGATGCCAGAACTGCTGGCTGTAGGACCACACTATCGGTAGCAAGGCACTAAATATGAAGTTCTGTAGTTTTAGAAGTCAGTGAGCAGCTAAGTTTTCCAACAAATGAATCCTTTCAGCCTCTTTTTCTAGTCCATAGGCAGGGATTGGATTGTCACTAGGTATCCACTCTACTCACAGGGAAACATCATGACTTGGGAAACATCTTGAAATAAAAACCAAAAAATCATGTTGAGGGCATAGTCAGATTAATATCTTCGAATAGGACAGAGGAGCTTTACATGGAGGTACATGAATCCTTGACTATTTACTGAAAAACTAGAATGTCTTAACCAAGCAGAGTCTCTCTAACACAACCCGCTTAGTCTGGTTATATTCAATTTAAATATCTCTTCTTCTTAAACCCACACTACAACTTCCTTAACCTGTGAGAAATGAAGGCAGGTTTTCTTTACGAAATATTCTATTAAATATGGTGCACTAAAGAGCATTGAACATTATATCAAATATTGTGCCAAATTTTAGAAGATAGTTTCTGGTTTCAAAGAGCATTTAATCTATGAACAGTTAAATATGAGAGCTGGGGCTTGGAAGATTTGCAGAGTCAAAGAGGATAAAGAACACTTTTAAGTAAAGAGAAGAGACAAGTTAAACTGGAAAGAGATGCTATACCCACCTTAACTCCTGGATCTCCTGTTTTGCCTTTAACCCTCAACCCCCTGCACATCTGAGACGGGCAGTTTTACCAGTGATTTGGAGACTGAGAATTACCCAGTCATTCAACCTCCCAAAGCAGGAATTGAAACAATATGTAACCTCCCAATGCCAGTGCATGGGGAAGAGGTATTTGTTTCTGGTATTCACAACCAGAACTCTGGAATCATTTTTTTCTCATAAAAATATTATTTAAAAGACCATTTAAGTTTTGTAATACTTGTCATATATTTAGATGTGGCTCATTTAATGAAGCACGGTGGACACAATCAGGAGAGGCCAGAAATTGGAATGGAACGTACTGACTGTCCCAAAGTGACCTAAACCGGGGGATGCCTGAACTGCACTCAGAATGTGATAGCCAAGGGCACGGACCAGGCCAGAGGGGATGGTTCAGGAATAGGGAGGTCCAAACATAGGCACAGGAGTCTCCTAAGACAAATCTAAAAGCATGTGCTTTCCAACTGCCATATCTACTTAAATCCAATATCAAAGTTCTTTTTGTCTCCGTTCACTCCTTTTATTAATATTTCAATTGGGACTACAGTTTCTACACAATTGGGTGAAAGGTTTGCAGTACTGACATGCTTTTCTTACATAACTGTTAAACAAATACTAAATACAATTATCTATCTTTAAAGGTTCTTATCTAAAATGTCATGAGAAGAAAGTATACCCAAAGAATGAATCTGAACCTCTCTTAGCTGTTTTAATTCAATGTTTGATTTAATAGCAATATTGTAGCATTTTGAAACCCTCGTTAATGGGCCCAGCAATGTGTTATCTTTACAAGCATCTTTTTTTTTTTTTTTTTTGCCTTTTCATGTGATATTTTTCAAACAGATTGACAAGGAACAATATGACAAAATACTTGATCTCATTGAGAGTGGGAAGAAGGAAGGGGCCAAACTGGAATGTGGCGGAGGCCCATGGGGGAATAAAGGCTACTTTATCCAGCCCACGGTTTTCTCTAATGTTACAGATGACATGCGCATCGCCAAAGAGGAGGTAAATGGTTTCATTCTGTTCTGTTGTTGCCTTGCTTCGTCTGCGTGTGTGTATACGGAGTGTCCCTTTAAGATTTTCACTTCTTTGAACATCTTTCAAAATGTTATTCTTTATTTCTCATAAAGGTTTATTTGTGGTCAAGAATAAAAGTAGTAAGGAATCCATTGGGCCAGCCAAAAATTTTCAGCCAAACAGATCAGGATGCTGAGCAATTTCTAGGTGCTTCCTTCACAGCTTTAATGTAAAGGAAAAAAATCCTGCCATTTGTGACAACATAAATGAACCTGGAGGACACTGTGCTAAGTGACACGTGCCAGGCACAGAAAGATGAATACAGCATGCTCTCACTTATACGTGGAACTTAAAAAAGTTAAATTCACAGAAGCAGAGAGTGAAATGGTGGTCACCAGGGGCTTGGGGGAGTGGGATGTGAGGGTGGGAGATGTCGGTCAAGTATCTAAAAGTTCAGTTAGAAGGAATAAGTTCAAGAGATCTGTTGTAAGGATGGTGGCTATAATTAATAACAACGTATTGTATACTTCACAATCACTAAGAGAGTAGATTTTAAGTGTTTTTGACACACACAAAAATAAGTACTTATGTTCCACCTGCTGGTTGCATATTTGCCCTATGAACTTTTTCTATATAACAGCCATCTATATATTTGAAAATAGCATTCATCCCTATATCACTCCCCACCATCCATGGGCTCTCGGCCCTGTGTTTTTCAGCTGTTAGTCTTCCTAATGTTGTATATTGTAGTTAAATATTTGGTAAGTTTATGTGTGTATGTATAACATGTAAATTACATGTACATACACATATACGGTGTGTCTGTGTATATATATATGCTCACTAAATATTTAAATAAGATATACTAAATAGGAAGGAAGATTAGTACTGTTGTTCTTGTATATCTTGATTAATACCAGATAGAAAGGATAGGAAAAAGATCTTCAGTCAAAGAACCATTTATTAAGTTCACACATTATTCATAGTAGAACAGCTAGCTTGCTACTTCAAAGTGGAAGCCTGGAGCCATGTGCTAAATTCAATTAAAATTTATGTAAAATATGAGCACATTTAGTGCAGCAGCTGCTGCACGTCTGGCTCCTGGGTTACAATCTCATGATTAGATTTACGACTTTGGCTATGCACTCAGCCTCCATAGACTGGTAACCTCCACCCCTCTAACACTTAAAGCAGTGGTGAAAACCAGAAAACCATTTGTCATTTCTGATTTTTGCCTCCTCTCATTCATGTTTCCCAGAAAATTCTGGTAACACTCAGAGGAAGCCCCTCTTTTATTTAATTTTAATAAATGTCTTACTGAAATATGATGTAAGCGCTTAATTTTTAAAAAAAAAATCTAGTTGTCTTTCTCCTGCCTGGCGCTGAGATACAGAATGACTTGAGTTTGGACTGCACTACCTACAGAGTCTAGCAAAAGTGAGAGTACTTTAGGCTAAAATAAGCAAATTGTGTTTTTAATTATTTTCTGCAACTATAGCCATTGCCAACGGACTGAAGCTTTGATTGGTACAGGGTGTTTCAGGATTTAAGCTCTTGTAGTAATGAACCGTTCTGTTTAATATATGTAAAGTGCATAAGATTTGGCTACAAAATAGAATCTGAACAATAATTCATGTTGTTTTACCTAACTTGAGTAATTATGAAAAATGTCTAAATACAGTAAAATAGTTAATATTTCAACCAATGGTATACTGATATTTAAAAGACAATTACTATTATCAATCATTGCCTATTCATTTATCAAGAAGAGCAAGCACTGCTTTCTGGAGCTCACTGTTATATGTAGTAACTTGGAAGACGAGGAAAACTAGGGAGAGAATTTTAAATGGCCCTAAATGAAAAAGAAATTCTAAAGTTAATGATTTGATGCACAATTATAAGTTCTTGGAAGCTTCAGTCCAACATGTAGAAAATGAACATTGCCTTAATTATTTGTGCTCTATCTTGTTCCAAAGAGAACTTAACACATGACCATTACCTATTCTCACCTATCATTTCTGCAGCTACCTATTTGGATTCTTATACATAGGTTTGAGAATAGAAGCAAAATCTTAATCAATTTAGGATGGTTTATAAAAAAAAATTGCAGGCCGGGTGCGGTGGCTCACGCCTGTAATCCTAGCCCTCTGGGAGGCCGAGGCGGGCGGATTGTTTGAGCTCAGGAGTTCGAAACCAGCCTGAGCAAGAGCGAGACCCCGTCTCTACTAAAAATAGAAAGAAATTAATCGGACAACTAAAAATATATATAGAAAAAATTAGCCGGGCATGGTAGCACATGCCTGTAGTCCCAGCTACTCGGGAGGCTGAGGCAGAAGGATTGCTTGAGCCCAGGAGTTTGAGGTTGCTGTGAGCTAGGCTGATGCCACGACACTCACTCTAGCCCGGGCAACAAAAGCGAGAATCTGTCTCAAAAAAAAAATTGCAGTATCATGTGAAATATTTAGTTTTAACCTATCTTTCTGATTTATTTAATCCTCTCTTGTGGTATAGATATTTGGACCAGTACAGCAAATCATGAAGTTTAAATCTTTAGATGAGGTGATCAAGAGAGCAAATAATACTCACTATGGATTAGCAGCAGGAATCTTTACCAAAGACCTTGATAAAGCCATAACAATGTCTTCTGCTCTGCAGGCTGGAGTAGTGTGGTAAGTTAAACCTTAGTAATGCAGCTTTTTCAGTGTTAACCACATTAACAGGTTACCTTAAACCTTTTTAGACTTGGATTTTTCATTTGGAAATACATGGCTTGCTAGAAAAGCAGTTATTGCCTTAAAAAACAAAACAAAACCAGCAAACAAAAGACAAAGACAAATTTCAGGTTTTTGATTTGGGAAAAGCAGAATGTTACATGCCTAATTGATAAAAAAGCTTGTTATAACATTTCACTGAGTGTCTTAGGACTTCCCAGTCAGGAATATCTACACAATTAAGGTATTTTTATTGCTATATATCCTAGAACATAATAATATTGTGGCATTGTCCCATCCTAACAGCGGCTTGGTGTTTTTAGGACAATTATTGAATTTCAGAGTTGCTAGGATTTTACCCACATTTTCAAAGTAGGCATGTGATTTTACAATTTAAATGAGTATTAGACAAAGCTAAGACAAGCTGCCTTTTAAAAGTGTAAATTTATTAAAAGAACTATTACTCCAGGATGGAGACATGCATAATTACTCTGTGGTCCAGTGAGAATGTAAAAAGCTGAGAATTGAGATAGTAAGTGTTTTAAGTGAGAAAATATTTGAATATTATTTCAGGATCAAAATAATGATTAAAACCTCCAAAATACAATACAATTTTTCTGAAAGTCACACTGTCCACCTATTATAATAGCACAAAGGGAGAGAAAATTATTAAAAAAGAACATCGTTTTCTCCTTTAAAAGTATTTTTTTCTTTTGCGTGTAATGAGAATCATGTAGGTAATAAGATTTTGCTCTTAAGTTTGGCCACCATGAAATTTAATGCTAAACAAATTGTTCATGCCCTGCGTAACTGCATTCTTATTTCCCCCCATCTTGATCTTTTATTGTAATTATTTCTTGAATTTCCAACTATTAATATTTTTGTAATTACATTTGTTTTTATAATCATCTTTAAACACTTTATGAGACATGACAGGGAATAAACAGATTGATAATTAAGTCCAATCTCTACCAAGGCCTCTGTTTAAGTAATTTATTGAACCAATTAATTGGGAAAAAATGAACTGAATAATATGATACATATTGCAGTTGCAAAAGAAAATTGAATCTAACCTGTTAAGTACACAAACCTCAAGAGAACTGCAAAGCTTATTCAATATAGGCAGTAAGGAATACCCATCCAACAAATTCTAGTCTTCAGTAAGCCATATCATTTCTCCTATGGCATATTAGCTATTCTATGATTCTAACTTTTATAATTCTAACTATGCCTTCTCAGGGACATGATATACTACCAAAAAGGCTATACAATATACATATGTATATCATTTTCTTTGTTTCTAGGTGGCATATATCCATATACTTCCACATTCTAATTTATAGTGCTGGTTTTTTGTTGCAATGAATATGTCATATTGAAATTAATGGAGTTCTTGAGCTTTCTAAATCCTAAAATTGCCAAATTAATGTTATTTCATATGTTAAGTGTCATCTATAATCTACTTCTATTCAGGGTGAACTGCTATTTCATGGGATCTGCCCAGTGCCCCTTTGGTGGCTTCAAGATGTCTGGAAATGGACGAGAAATGTAAGAATAACTTTTTATTGATATACTTATTTCATAAAAATGGTTTTTACTCCTAGGGAATTAACTCACAGTTGCCACCTTAAATGAAACCTGCTTCTGTTCTTTCCTGGAGAATTTATACCACCCAATAGCTTATTAAATGTTGGCTGTACCCCGTAAGTGCAGAAAGGTGCTGACAGAAGGAAATATAATTTATTAAGCTCCCACTACTCATAAGGGTCCATATTAAGCACTTTACAGTGTGATTGAAATATTGCTTACTTTTAAAATTGTTTGCTGTGTATATGAATGAAATCCATATGGGAAATATCTCCAGAAAGGAGGTAAAAAGCATAAAGTGGTGATTGTAAGAAGCATACAAATATAAGGACACTCCAGTTATTTGAATATGCCCCTAGATAAGTGAATTAGGTGACTTTTCTTGGAAAACATCAGTGTAAAAGGAATGATTTTCATTTGTTGAAATATTATTGATGTAGATTCTAAAATTTTAAATTATCTGAATAAGTTAATTTTGAAACTAAAATATAAACCTGAAAGGAAATTTGACTAAGGAAATAGTCAATGTTTTATAGTAGTGAGTAGATTGAGAATATTTATACATAAATGCATTTATGAGCCTTCAGTTGCTTTTGAAACTGGGAGATAGAGACTTTTTGTAAAAATGTTGACATACATATGTAAACACAGAAAATAGTGGCAAAATGTTTGGTTAAGTTTATTCAAGCAATTTTAACCATTTTATTTCTTTACAGTCTCTTACCATTTGCCAATATATTTAAAATTCTTGAAGAAAAAAAGATAAATGATATGCAATCCTTGTGGAATCATAGTAAAGCTGACTATTTGTAAATAGCAAGTAAAAATGAGTCTTTCTCAGTTTCTAAGGGTCATAGATGAAATAGCCATGTACTTTGTCATTTGTCTTAATGAATCAGCAAAATTACAATTAAGCAATATTTTTGAGGAGCCAGTGAAATGGAGGAATGACAGAATGATCTGTCAACTTTCTCAACATGCATTCATTAGTACTTGCTATGGATAAGGTCCTAGGGACATGACACTATGTTCTGTCCTCTACTTAACTGTGGTGGCAAGAGGAATATGTAAAAATATATGCAAAAGAACCTGCACACACTAGATCAAGAATCTATGCCTCATGGGGACAGAGAAGCAGTTTAAGTGCAGAGCAAAGTATTGAAGGACAGGAGATTTGGACAGCACCAGACTTCAGCATTTAGGATGGCATGTCTTTGTCACTATTTTCATCTGTCACACAAGGTCAAGGATTATGGGTGAAGACGGATGTAGGCAGAGGAAATAGAAGGTCTTTTAAGCTCCTTTCCATGGCTCCATGGTTCTAACTCCAGTGGAAATTCAGTGGATAAAACATTTAATGGCACTTGATAGAATAAGAGAAGACCTCACAAAAGAGATGAGACTTCATCTGGGGCAGGAAGAGGGCATTCTTGAATGGAACATTACATGTGGTGTGCTGAAGGGCTAGCAAATTTGGTTGGTTCTGTGGATTTATGGGGGTGAGAAGTATGATTCAGAGTTAGATATGATATAGATTAAGGAGTCCTGCAGCGAAGAAAATGGTCTGAGATTTTACTTGTAGAGTAATGAACAGCCATGAATACGTTTACAATGTTCTGAGGAGATAGCAGCAAAAGATCAACCCATGAATAGTACAAAACATATCTGAGAAGACATCATTTGAGTCTGGCCAACCTGCATTTAAATCCTGACTCCACCACTTGCTAGCCATGCTGCCCACTTCAAGTTGTCTAACTTCTGAGCCTCCATTCCTCATATTTCAAATGGAGATGCTAACTTTTCTATGAAGATGATTATAACATAATGAATGCCCAGTTCCTACCCTTACAACTGTCACAAACTGAAAATTCAACAAATGGTTTCTTCCTCCCCTAGTTTCTTCTCTTTATAATATCTATTACTGGAGAATCCCTTCGCAAAACTAATTTCTTTATACAAAAAGCTCGAACAAAGGATAGATTACTCTGAAGGTCGGTTAGTTCATTGCTGGCCCAGCTATCTAACACATTTTCCTGGGAACAGTGAAGATAAAATAATCAAAAGGAATGAAACAACTTAAGTAGACCAAACTGGTAAATTCTGTTGAATACAGACTTTAAGGTTAAGACGTAAGGGAATCAAATAAGAGAAGAGTTAAAAACAGGAATCAACCATCAATAATTTCCTAAATGTCAGGAACATAGGTATATATAATATCCCAGCCTGAGCAGAACAATAATCACACTTATTACTCTTTTGAGAGCTTCAGGTGCTATGTGACTCAAAATACAATGGAAAGCCTGTTGGTTAAAATCATGGGTTGATTTATCTAAGTCTATGAGATAAAATATTATCCTTTTAATAAGTGTCAGACAACTGAGGCAAAACCCTTTAACTACGTTGAAGAATGTGCTCATTGAATCTTTTAAAAGATATTTTTAGAAGCTTACTTGCCCAAAAAAATAATCAGTGTAAGACTATTAGGTTACCCAAGAGAAAATGATGTCTTCTACACATCTGTCTATATCATAAGAAGGGAGGGGTAGAAAAGGATCAAGATCTTATGTTTCTGTAAACCTACATGTGCATGAGTGTTGTCATTTTAAGAATATTTTTATATACGTGTAATTTGATCCTCTTGTCAGAACAATACAGAGTATAACTGAGCCCCAGTCCCTTTAGTTATCTCTTCAACAAAGGGTAAATCACAGTCAGTTTCTAAAACTGGTAGGAGGTCCCCATGAACCTGATAACAAGATAGGAGGGTCCAAATGGACTGAGTTGGATTAATTCCTGATGATTTGGGTTGGACTTGAGTTATATAAGCAAATGGTAGGGGATAGAGGAGGTCATATAAAGAGAAAAAACCAACAACTGCAAAACCCCAAGAGCCTGAATGTAGGCCAATCTACCCTTGTCCTCTTCCTTAAAAAGAAAACAATCAAAAAAAGAAAAGAAAAATCAGAAAACTTTAATAAAAGTCAGATTTTTTTTTGCAGGGAATCAAAAGATATTGCTAAAACTTCAGCTGCAAAATATTTTGTTTCAAGCCATATTAAAGCCCCTTAGAATGAAAGTTTCACTCCTTCATCATTTCGATGCCAATTCTGTGCACTTGGTAAATTCAAGCTCTGCTTTAGTTTACAGTTTTGTTGCACTACTATCGAGTGATTATATATCACTACCTCTGCTCTTTTACTATATTTGTCTTAAAGTGAATCTAGACTAGAAATGGCAAAATTCTTATTGGGCTTAATTGTCTTTTGAGTAGATAGAGTTTTTTAAAATCGAGTAGGATAATGTAAAAAATGGACAATTTCTGCAAAAATCAACTGAGTGTACATGATTTTTTTTATTTTTATTTTTTGTAGGCAGACTCTTGCTCTGTCATCTTGGCTAGAATGCAGTGGCGTTAAAGCTCACTGCAACCTCAAACTGCTCGGCTCAAGGAATCCTCCTGCCCCAGCGTCCTGAGTAGCTACAGACATGGGCCACTGGGCCCAGCTGACTTTTTCTATTTTTAGTAGACACAGAGTCTCATCTTGCTCAGGCTGGTCTTGAACTCCTGAGCTCAAGCTATCCTCCCGCCTTGGCCTCCCAAAATGCTAGGATTACAGGGTGAGCTGCCATGCCCGACCTGCATGATTATTTAAAATGAGAGAGATTTTAAAAAAATATTCCGCACAAGCGGATTTATGTAAGACCAGACAGTTTTTGTGGGTTAGCTGCTATATAAAATGTTCTGGACACAGAAAATATTTTCCATTGTTCCTAGCCAGATAAGCAAGAACAAACTTGTACCAATCATGGACTATAGTACATTTGCACTCTATGCTAATTGGTGTTTGTGGATATTTTTTTTTCCTCTCTAGGGGAGAATATGGTCTTTATGAATATACAGAGGTCAAGACAGTCACAATGAAAATCTCTCAGAAGAACTCATAAAAAAACTACAAGAAAAGAGAGAAATTCTTCAATGGCTGAGCATCTCCTATAGTCACTAACAGAGTGGGTTTTCAATACAAAATTGTTCTTTTCATGATTTTCTTGAAACGTAAGCTAATCAGATGATTGTTAATACTATCCATAGAAAACTTCACATGTAGCGTATTCTGAATCATTTGCTTTCTAATATGTGACTCCGAGTCCTATCGTACATAAAAAGTTTGAATTTGGATGCCAAATCTCTCAAGCTCTGTCATAGTCATGTGCTTTCATTTGTAGCTACTTGTCCAAGATAATCATTTCATAGAAGAGGAAGGACCAATTGTCGTTTAGCTTCTTCAAGGACTCCTTGAAGTACTTAACATACATGTTAACTACAGAGTAAGTTGCTCTGTTCCCAGTAGTTATGAAGTCCTTGGAGTGTCTTGAAATGTTTCCTAGATCTATGTCTGCTTGTCAAATGAAGTAATGCCTGAAATACTTAGCTGTAAGCTGAATATGAACCTTAATAAAAACAACTTTTCATGACTCTGGTTAAGTTTGAAATTTTTTTAAGTAGAAGTTTTGGTTATGGTGATTTATTCTCCTTGTCACTCAAAAACAGCATTAAATTGAGCATAAAGATACATTTAAAATAAAAGTCTAATCTACCCATTCTCAAATGGGTAAAGAAACATTTGACTTTCCAGAGGAATTCTTGATATCAATGGCCACATTTGAGATAGATGGCATCAGTCCTTTGGTAAGCATTTATTGAGTTCTTACAAAGTTCTGAGCTGGGCACTAGTTAGGTGTGTGGAAAATAGGTGAATGGTGAATGGTCCCTCATTTCAAGGTGCTTTAATTTAATGAAGAACAAAGATAATCCCTGCCCCCAAATAAAGGAAAGGGCATAAAATAGAAGTGAGGATTCTGGAAACCGCAGGAGTGAAGTAACATTCCAAATAGGTAGTGATGAAGTCTGAGAGAATTGAAAATGGCCTCATGAAGAAAATTGGACTGGATGTGAACCTCAACTAGCAGATTTGCCGTGACTAAGAGGGAAAGAGGTACTACAACATAATCTCTCAGGGCATGTTCTGTTTAAAAACAATTTGAAGAAATTCTATGCAATACGTTTTCCTCTCCTGAAGTTTCAAATTGCACATTGGCAGCATATTCTAGGACCAGGTTCTTAGAAGTCCTACCACCTATTTAGTTTTATTTTAATACAGTTTTTTTTTTTTTTCCAAATTTATTTTAGCAGAGACCTTGCCTTCGCCCTACCCTCATTTAACACCAACTATCATTAAGAAATCCATGTTGGAAGATGCCGTTTCCTGCAAAGAGGGAGCAATTAGTGTTCTAAGGAGAGATCTGGAATCAAAAGGGAGCAGCTGGAAAAATGGCCTCTGTGTAAAACTAACTACACCATGATTACACTGCCGCTCTCGGAGCACAGTGGTTGTTTGTGTTGTCATCCTTCTTTGTGTGCTCCCATGCAGGAACTGCCTTAGACCCAAGTCAAATCAAGTAAATATTTGCATATTACTGTACCTATTCTAAAATGTTTTTAGTTCAGCAACTTAGGGAAACATATTTTTTAGATTCAGATTTCGTATAGATAAATGTTTACTGTTTTACATTAACAGATACCGCAGCAACACTGTTGTTTACAAATGCTATTAGCTGCCATAGTCAAGTTTAACGATGTAAGAATAAATGAAACTCATTAGCTTCTTAGACTTATAATAATTTCAACTTCAATTATGAGAGTTTCTCAAACTTGTGTGGGCCTATAAGATTTGCAATATGAACTTCTTTGTAAAATGTGGGACATAATTATTGTTTGAAAACTGTAAGAACCAAAGTCTTGAGGAGAACCGAAAGGTTTGTCAACATTGAAATGGGAAAATATCCAAATACAGAGGAGGGTTGTGTTTTCCTAAAACAAGATAGTGCCATTTTTAAAAGACATTTTTAAAAGATGTCTTTAAAACCATGTGCAAATAAATTAATAGCTAGACAAGTTAATATTGTAATGGCATCCCACCAGAACATTCTTTAAATGTATAATAAAGAGGGCTAAGCACAGAACAAGACAAAAGGCAGAAGCAACCTTAAATATTTGAAAATTAAAGCTTCATTGTATAAATAATACATTACAGGATTAAACAGAAAATATCTGCTTTATATTGGCTCGTCCTGAGCCTCTAGACATTATTTGTATTCCATTATTTGTTTTAAGACCATGCTGGCAATAGTTCTTAAAACCTTGAAAAGTTAAAGGATATCTTATTAATTAGCCCATGTGCTATAGGAAATACAGGTCAGAAATTTTATGAAAAATTCAATTTTGCAGTTATAAATATCTAACTGTCCTCATGTCCACATGGCAAGAAGTATTTTGAGCTCCAGGAAAACCAAACCATGTGACAAAAGTTGGAATTCACTGTTCAGGCAGAGATAATGTCAGATTTCAGATAAGCATTCTCTAAATGTCTACTGGGTTTTTTCCTTTTTTTTTTCCTCTCTTTCCTTCCTCCTTTTTAGTTTCTTATTAGGATGCATACTTCTGGCTTTATTTTGAAACAGCCAAGAAGAAATGGCGGGAGGAGAGAATTTTTTCTTAAATTCTCGTAACCAATTCAAAATAGAGGCAACTCAAGGTACGGAATTTTAGCCATTTCTTGACATAATTTGGGAGGGAGTGATGAACTCAAAAGGCTTTTTCCTTTAGTGATGTGTGTAATTTTTTGAGTATCTAATTTCACTTGGACATTTAGAAGTGCAATTGCACATGTGTAACAACTAAACACCTATGTTCAGGTGGCTTTCCCGGAGTATGCTAAATAACCAGGTTATATTTTTACATAAAACACAAATTTCTATTGGAGTTTCATTTGCTGATTTATCTTGGGAGTTTTTTTTTTTTTTTTTTTTTTGGTGCCCTGGAGATGTGTTTGAGCCTTCCAATTCTGATGGTGAAACGATACATAGGAAAGAGAATTGGAGATGATAGCTAAATTTTCTGGATACCAAAATTCAGTGATTGCCAGGATGGCATGAAAGCTTTCTGTTGTAGCGCACGAGGACTGTGGTGTTCTGGAAGATAATATCATGAGTCAAGACACAAATGAGGGAGAACAGCCCAATTATCATTCTGATAGTCCATGGAAGAGTAGAGATGGCATCTGTCTGAACACAAGGCCACAAAGTTCTCTGCGGGGGCTTACGACAAATCTAGATCATGTCTCTTCACTGGCCCTTAGACTCTGGATGGTGGGTTTATCCCAGAGAAAAATAGTCACATCCCTCAACATGTAGGATAACTCCCAATTCACTAGAAAGTCAACTTTACCACCTCATGAAATATCTGTGCAGAAAGTATACCAATGTTTTTTGAACATTAATGTCATGTGCTGACTACTTTCACAAGAATTTAGTTTTTAAAAAATGGACATCTCTGAGTTTTATAAAAATGTTTATAGGCTGCCATGGTGCTACCTTGGAGTGATTTCACTAGAGTTTTGGGATTTTTTGTTTGTTTTTTGTCAAGTTATTTCTTTAAAGATTCATCAGGCCTAGAAAAATATACTAAATATGAAAATACAAAACTAATTTAGGCTGGCAACTGATTTTCTTTTAACTTTATATATTAAAATAATTGCAAACTTTTAGAGCTGCTAAACAGTGCAAAGAACTCCCATATATCCTTTATTTGCTGGTTTAAAAATATTTTCCTTTGTTGACTTTATCAGTGCTATTCTATATATAGATACATTTTTAAAATAAATATAAAAATAATTTTTGGACATAATGTCATTTTACCCCAGAATACTTCAGTATGGTTTTCTAGGAATAAGGTCACTCTTTCACAAAACCACAGCTCAATTATCTAATTCAGAAAATTTAACATTGACAAAATACTAGTATCTAATACACGATCTATTTACAATTTGTTCTAATTGTCCCTCCAATGTCCTTTATGACATTTTCCCTCATAATCCAAAAACTAGTCAAGGGTCATGTATTACATTCAGTTATTGCAGTTTGTTTTTGTTATACTATCCCTTAATAATGGGGACACAACTTGCAAGCACACCTGATATTCAGTCAAGCTGGTTAGTACTGTCTCGGCCTAGGAGGGAACCTAGGGGACATACCTAACTCAGAGCCTTACTGAGTCACAAGAACCAGCCAAAAGGGGGTTGATGCTTTTAAAGAATATCATTTCAGTATATGATTTTTAATTACCATGATCCACGATAAACCAGATGAAACTCTGTAGGTTGAAAACATGTGCCTTCCACTTTGGACAGTTGTGAGGAAAAGCTGCTCTGCTCCCTTGAGGATATTAGTGTTTTGTCTTTGTGTGTATTATTACAATATTGCCCTTTGCTGTTTCATTTCCTGCCTTTCTTATTTGAATATTTTTCCTTCAAACAAACAGCTTGCCTACATTTTGATAATATCTGGGGAGGTACTTTAATATCAACTGGTTATAAATCAGCCACATAGAAACATTTTAAATGAGTTTCCTTTCCAAGTACATTTATACTAGAAAGATCTTGACATTTAGTGTAGGGACAGTCCCTGGGCAAAAATTGGCTTAAGCCCAGAGTCAGCGAAACTGGGTGTGCTCTCCTTGGCGCCAGAGGTCAGTAGGCCCAGACACGGCCTGTTGACCAAACAGAACTATTCCTCATGACAGATAGCTTTATGACAGATAACCAAGCTCCTGGGATCCTGCAAACAAGCCAAGGTGTCTCATTGTCCTGCATACGGTAATGAGATAAAGAAGTTAAGATGCAAGAAGGTAAGATGCAAACGTCTGCTTACCTTAAGCAATCGTCTGGAAGGAATGAAAATGTGTTTTCCTCAAGGCACCCAAGATAGTCACATACCAGGAAATAGTTGCTGGACATATAAAAAGTATATAAATAAAATGACTGGTGCGAATGGAGCACTGCAGTCTTGTATGTCTTGTGTGTGTCTGTGTGTTTCTTTCTGTGTCCATCCCCCGTTCTGCAATCCGGGCCATAACATTTAGAGTCAAATAGTTGCTAAATTCTGATTCCACCATGAACTAGCAGTATGGTCATAGGTCAATTATTAAACGTTTCTCATATAGCCTCATATAGTAATCATGCAGCAGATTACGGTGGCTATTGATATTTGGGAAGAAATGTAATGTTTTACATAATCACCAGGGCCCTTGGAGCCAGAAATCTGGTTTCAAATCCTTGTTCTTCTTGGCCTTGGGATTTGGGACAAAGTATCCAATCTTCCTAAATTTCAATTTCTTTATCTGTTTTTACACAGATAATACAGGAATTAATTAATTAATTAATTATACAGGAATTAATAATAGTGCCTATCTAACTGGGTTATTCTACTAAATGAGATAATGTTTGTAAAATGCTTAACAGGGTTCCCAGGACATAACAAGTGCCCGGTACACATTATTGATCTACTTAACGAATGTCTTGGCACTAATATTTATTTCAACAAAAACAAGGATACCAAGGTCTTCCTCTTGGCCTTGA